AAAAAAAAAAAAAAAAAAAAAGAAGCAGTGTAACCCTGATTCATGGTGACATTTTGAGTTTCCAGGGTTCATGGAATAAAGTCTATAGCACGTTATTTTCTCTTGGCACCCAGAATAAAATCAGCCATGTTCCCTTCACTGTTTTAAAAATTCATTTGCTCTTACCTATGCGATTGGATTCTATGAAGTTGTATATGCAACTTCAGCAAGTCTTTTCAGATCATACTGTAAGAGAAAAATTTTGCTGACATATTGTGAAACAGAAATATTGGAGAAATAATAACATGAGGGGACTAAAAGGAGGTTAAAGTGTCCCTCATTTTAAAAATGTTGTGCCACAGGTAACTCTTTGCCTGCATATTTGAATTACCTGCGTGTTGTGCATGTTCTGTTGTCAGAATATTTGGGGCTTGCTCTATCCAGTGCTTGGAGTAAACGGATGATCAGGCCAAACAGGAGGAAGTGGGGTAGGTACTGAAAGGCAGCAGTAGGTGTGTATTTGTTGCAGGGCTGCTGTAAGTAGCACAGATGAGAGTTTAGTGTTTGTATGTTTTAGCAAGGCAAAAGCTTGGACTATAGAGCCCTATTATATACTGTTATTGTAGACAGCTAAGCTAGGCAGAACTATTGTAGGCAGTCACATAGGGCAAGGCCCTTGAGAGAGCCAGGACAGAGGGAAACACATCTCAACTGTGTCTGGAGACACATCTGTTAGACACTAGGCCTCCAGATAAAGACGAGATGACCAGGCCTGTAACTTCCTCGAAGGACAAACACCAGGCCTAAGGAAACCTAGATGGACATCAGTTACCCTGGTGAGTGACCAAGACCTCCAGATCCATCATTTCCTACAGAAAGTCTCTGTTCCTTCCATGCACCCTTATTAGATAACTTGTTTCCTCATGGGGTCACTAATACCTAAGCACCTGTACTTCTATCCTTACTGCTTAATCATAGTAACCCACGTTGTACTCATGTGGGTACTGCTCTGTAAAACTTCCCTAAAATGTAGGGTCCCTGGGCAACTCCTTCAGGCCCCTTCTGTTCCTCTGACAGGAGCTTTGTATCTTGCAATAAATATCTCCTACTTGTAACCTCTGTTGTTCCTAGAGTTCATTCTTCAGTTTTTAGACAACATGAACTCAGCATATCAGACATCTGATTGGCTGGGGAGTTATAGTATTCCCCCTATATCATATTTGGAGGTTCTGATATCACTGATAATTACCAATCAGACTTACCCAGTTAAGGCAGTGTGCTTTCTGAGTGCTTTCAAACAAGACATTCTTAGCAAGATGTTGTTAATAGTTGATGGCAAAGTGACTGCCATGACCTTTTGGACATGCTGTGGTCCAGATTGCTTAGCAGCTGGCTCTCCTGCACTACTTTGGCCTAGTTCTTTTCTCTCTTCTGTTGGGTGTACCCCCTGTGCCAATAGTACTGTGCTGTCCTTTCTAAAAATGGTTTGGGTAGAGAAATTTCCCAGTAGTTTCTGGAGAACATTTATAAGAGATAAATGTTGAATATGTGTTCATTCTGCTCTCGTGTTTTAAGTAGTAGTTTGGCCATACAGGTTCATAATCTCAGTTTCATTTGCTTGTTGCTGACCAAATCAAAGGCGGCCGTCTACTTTGGTGGGAAAAGAATTTATTCAAAGCTAGCTCCAAGGAGGTGAAGGGGCCTATTTACGTCAAATCACTCTCAAACTTTGTTAGCTGCATTAGGATCTTTTACAGCAAGGAACAGCAGGGGTATGGCATACAGTGGAATAATAGACATGTCCGGCCTTGTTCTATCCCTTCCTGGACCCAAATCTCTCCCTCTTTTACCTAATGAGATGAAACTGGACCTGACCTTCTCATGTTAGCGACTACACATCCTGTCCAATCATCTGGGCTATGAAGGTAGGGGAGCCATTTATGCTCTAGGTCTGAAGAGGTTTGGAGAACCTGTCTCCAGACCGGCTCTGAGGAGTTTCCCAAAACTGGGAGAAGGAACCTAATCCATCCTACCAGTAGAACAGGATGGCAGGATTGCAGGACTCCTTATGGAAAAAATGTTTTCAGGACTGGTCAGTAGGAGGCATGGTAAAGGGTTTTATTAGACAGAAATTCAAAAGTAGGCACTCAAAGAAATAGATTGTGGGGCCCTCAAGGAAGAGATGCATATTATTTCCTAGAGCTGAGAACATTTTTGCCTGTCTTGAGGGGGTGGAAATCTCAGGAAAAGGTGGCCTGCCGCCCAAGAAGGGTATTGGGCCAACTTACGGACTTTCAGCATTTTTTAGGAATTTTGAGTGTGACGGGTCTAGAAGGAAAGGAGCCTGAATTTATCCAAAGGAAGCTGGTAGAGATGGCCTTGGGTACCTTTGATGGGGTCCCAGAAGTTGTAGTCTTCTTAAAAGTACCATTTTTTAGTTATGATTTCCTTGTCTCCTTTTTGCCTTTTATCTTTTCTATCCCACCTCTAAGCCACTTGTCTCTAAGAGAAAAAAGATCTAATTTCTAAATTTCCTTTTTGAGGTGTTGGTTATAGTCTGTATACAGTCCTTGTTGGTTTTTTTTTTTTTTTTTTTGAGATATTGCTGTATTGTATTCTAGATTCCAGTGTTGTTATTGAGATGTCTGGTCCCACTCTGATTCCTGATGCTTTGCATGAAGCCTAGTATTTCACTCTGAAGCTTTTAGGAAGTTACAGGATGGTGAGTGTTAGTCTGGGATGGATCTGTTTTCAGTCACATGCTCGGTACTTGATGGCTTCTTTCATTCTGGAATCTCATGCACTGTAGTTCTAGGAAGTTTTTCTGCTATATTTGGAATTCTTTCCTTTTCTTTTCATTTGGTTTTTGTTCAGATTTTTAGCTTCTTGGCCCAGTCCTGTCTTCTTTCCTCTCTTACCTCTTCCATTCCCTTGCTTTTCTGCATTTCAAGATTTTTTAGCTGTCCTCTAACATTGAGCTTACCTTCTTGTTATCTTTTTTTTTTAAAGGCCCATTTTGGTTTGCTTTGAAATTTCCTTCTAACCATATCATTTGATTTTTTCCAAGATACATTAATCATTTTGTTCATTTATGCCTCTTTTATCTGGAATTTTCAAATCTCTGATAGTTATTAAGTATTTATTCTTATCTAAAAATGGGGTTTATGTTTGTTTCCTATTATTAATGTAACAGATGACCACAAGTCTCACTGATGTGCCTTCTGTGAAGCCTGACGTGAGTCTGGTTGGTCTAAACTGAGATGTTAGCAGAGCTGCATCCTTTCTGGAGCTGTGGGCAGAAGTCCATTCCTTGCAAGCACAAACATTCCTTTGCTTATGGCCTTTTTTGTCCATCTTCAAAATAAAAATTTTGTATCTCTGACTACTCCTGTGTAGTCACCTCTTCCTCTGACCACACCCACAAAGGGTTCTTTGCTTTTGAGGACTTGTGTCCATACTTAGATTAGGCCTATTTGTGTAGCCTAGGATGGTTTCCCATCACAAGGCCCTTAACTACATCTATAAAATCCTTTCTGCCATGGAAGATAATATATATATATATATATAGATGCTGGGAACTAGGCTGTGACCATTACTCTGCGTACCACATGCTCTAAACATCTGATTGTCCACTATGTGTGTGTATGCTGGGGTACTTTTTGATTACACTGGAAGACTGGTAACAATTTGGCCTAACCTTAGGAAACACTTGATTGAATTTTTAGATCAGAATATTTAGATCTTTAGAATATTTAGATTATTTAGATCTTTAGAATCTTTAGATTATTTAGAACTTTAGAATATTTAGATCTTTACTATTGGTCTTGCTAGGTCTGAAATGGATGGTATGTTTTTGATGTTGCATGTTACAAAATTTATCTTGAATATTAAAAGATTAATAAACACAAATTCAGGCAGTTATTATAACTGATGAATTACTGTCAGCTCCAAAGATAAATTACTGCTTCTTCCCTGGGAGAGCGGCCATACTTGATGACCCCAACTATTGCTGTGTTTGGTTTTTCTCAGTCACATCGGCTACTTGTAGGTTTGGTGTCTCACCTGCTCACTGGTGCTTGTGTAGTCTTGGCTGAAGTGATAACATCACTAAAGTTGCATCAGTAAAATTGCCCAGCTGAACACTAAACATATTTTAAGTTTTCCATATAAAAATGAAAGAATACATCAAGCACATAAAATACTGAGCTACTTTTTCAGTAGAAAACAACCCTTCTATTATGCTAGTATAGGACCGGTATAGTTGCCTATGTGCAACGGAGGCTTTCAAAATTGGGCACCGGAATTTGACATGTGAGCCTGTTTTCAGTGCTCGTCCTTTGAGCTCTGCCATCCTCCTGAACAGAGGTCTTGGTACCAAATTTGTGTTACAGAAATATTCTGATCTAAAAATTCAATCAAGTGTTTCCTAAGGTTAGGCCAAATTTTTATTTTGAAATTTACTGTGAAAACCTTCACACACATACTAAGTTGAAAAGAATAGTATATGGAATCCTTTGTATCTGACACCTGTCTTTAAGACCACCTGTCTTTAAGTCCAGTGTGAACTGAACTGAATTTTGGTTGTATCTGCTACCAAATGACTAAAAGTAGGATTCTGTCCACCCACAGAGACTGCAAGACAGAGACCCTATCCAGTTTAGCTGGAT